AAATTGCCCACTTTACGCACTGTTGGTCCTGAAGCTTAGTCCGTAATTGCATATGCTCTAAGATCTAGGGGGTTGCACGCAGATGCTGGCAAGGTGCATATCTTACTGCAAAAGGTTGCCGGCCAGCTCGAGATGGTGTGGCAGAGTTGGAGCCGCCCTGCAATCGGGTAGAATTTGTAGAAAGAGCCCACGCCAAAACCTTTTTTTTTTTTTTTTTAACCCAATATCATATTATCATAGAGTTGAAACGAGGTCGGGGACCTCATAATTCTATCTGGAGTTACCCCCACAGCATCAGCCGGTTTAGCTTATAAAACTCATTGCTTGAAACTCAATCAAAAGACTTCAATACCGCTTGCTCTCAATTGTCTTCACTCTGGCTGTACAAGCCCTGAACCTATCTCCTACTGAAAGCCATTTATTCCTAAATAGGCCTATCTGCGGCCTGGAGCTCCGTCTATCCGACCAAGTGGAACCTGAATCCCCACCAAGTAGAGACACTCTCCGCCCCCCTCCCCTATGCAGGCTACTGCACCTGCCCACTGGGCCACTGGAACCGAGTGCCCTGGTTCTTAACTAGATATTAACAGGTTGCTAACTAGTTAGAGGGGTGAAAAGATAGAGGATCGAGTGAGTAGAAGGGGAATAGAGAGAAGAGTGGGGGAGAGGGGGGAAGATGGGGCCCTACTTCGAAAGCCAGGGAGATATCACTAACTTCCCCGTAAAAGTGACCACTGCGAACTGATTGTCACGCGCCCAAGTCACCAGAAACCAGTGTCTGCCCCTTGGCGTCTTGCCTCCGTTCGCTTTCCTGATCCAGTTGACCCGTATCATAGTCCCGATCCATGCCTTGACCTTGGCAATGAGGGCAGAGTCGTTTGTCCATTGCTGTTGGAACAAGACATTGTTCTGGTCTTCCCATATTACCCAGATAAGAATGGATCGGATCGCCTGTGCTACATATCCCCTGCCCTTGACTTTGAACCATGTGGCTGGGATCCGACCGTAAAGTGCCCAGTCCTCGTCCCATGGCAAAATAGGGCCAGTGAAGCGGAGCCAATGTTGCTCCCACCATTGCCAGATCCTCTTTGAGGCTGGGCATGCCCTGAAAAGGTGCTGCATTGTTTTTTCTTGTCTGCCTCCACATCTGCGATATTTCGTTTCTATATCCATTCCCTTTTTGAAGAGCCAGGTCGAGGTTGGAATGGCGGCATGTGACAGTAGCTAGAGTACTCCAGCAAGCTTTTGTGAGGGCAGGGAAGTGAGCTGGATCCACAGAGTTTTCATATCCCTCCTTGTAATTTGTCTGGTGTCTCCTTTGAGCCTGTTGAGCAGCCCTGCTATCGTTGTTGGCAGATCACAGTCCTTCATTTGCACTTGCCTTCCGAGGGCAGAAGTGTATTGATGCAAGGCCTTGGCTTGACTCAGGGGTGGTTCCCAGGACGAGGCTAGGGGGTCTATTCGGAGAGCTTTCAGTGATATCCCCTTTAACAGTAGGTCATGTGTGGTAACCTCTGCTTTGGTCGTCGTCTGCACTCGGATTTGTTGTAGAGCTTGTTGAGCTTTTACCGCTATCTCTCCTAGGGGCTGTAGCCTGCTGGTAGGCACCGGGGCCACTGTTGGGGTCGACTTCTGGGCACGCCAGGTGTCTGTGTCAAGCTGTTCTTCTATGCAAATTACAGCCCCTGGGTCTGTTTCTTGCACATCCCTGTACCATTCTCCCTCTAGAGGGATGTTGGAGCGAAGTAGTTCCAACCAGTGCGTTGTAATTTGTTCACGGATTTGATGACTTCTGGCCGAGATGAGCTGGAGACTTCCGAGTTTCTGCTTTAGCTGTTGTGCTGAAATCCAATCATCCTGGTCGTCATCCCACATATCCCGAATTGTAGTTACACCACACTCCACCCATCGTCTTCCGAAGTTGCCCGGAGATGCAGTTGCTTCGAAGGCCTGCCCCTGCTCGTTGCAGATGTTTTCATTGTTGAAGATGTTCTGTTTGAGCACCTCCTCCTTGGTTGCTGGTTCTCTGTTGAGCGTCGGATGTTGTTGACTCCAGGCTGCCCACAACCCTCTTGTTAATGGCGAAGACAATTGTCTGCGGGCAATCGAGCACCTGAAGAGACAACACCAAACGTCTTCTCCACGTGACAGGGAAAGTTCTTGTTGGATCAGATACTCAAGGATAATAAGCCAGCTCCTGCACTCCGTCTGGCTCGCTACCTTGGAGAGCCATTTGGTTAAAAGTGCCACGTTTTGCTTTTTTGGATCAATGATCCCAAAGCCTCCATCAATCTTAGCAGTTGTCACCTTAGACCAGGCACATTTAGTGATGTAGCCCTGCGTTTCTCGTGCAGCAGGTTTCCTTAGATAGCGCGCGACATCTGTTGTTAAATGCCTAGTGACTGACTTGGAGATCAGACATACTGGAGCAACAAACCAAAGTTGCACGAAGACAAATGAGTTGATGAGGAGAGCCCGCCCAAGTAATGACATGCCAACTGCTACTCGACATCACTGTACACCGGCCTGGACTTTGGCTTGGAGGATTGCACTCTGCTTCGGTCTCGCATCACCTAGAGAGACCTGTACTCCCAGGTAGCGCTCCGAGAGGTCTGGGTTTATTCGTTTCATCCCCTAGTCTTTCCCTAAAAGATCGTAGTTCTTGGGGAGAAAGTATACCAATTTGCCCTAGTTGACTTGGGTTTCGGAGAGCGTGGCGTAGGTATCCAGCATCACCTTGGCTTCCTGCATGGATTTCTGGGTGGCTTCCATGACCAATAGGAGGTCGTCTGCTATGGCTCCAGTTAAGAGTGTTTCCCCTGCTCCACGTCTCAGACCTTGTATGCGCTGCGAGGCTCTAAGGGAGTTCAGGAGGACTTCCATCTGCACTGCGAACAATAGTGACGCCAGCGGACAGCCTTGTCTGAGCGAGCGGGTCAACGAGAAGGTGGATGCGAGGAAGCCGTTGACGTTCAATGTGGCGGTCGAATCCGCGTACAGTTCTCGTACCCATGTGCGGTAATTTGGCCCAAAGCCCATGTGCTCGAGAGTGGCCAACACAAATGACCAATTCAGTCGATCATAGGCTTTTTCGAGGTCGAGCATTGCTGCCAAGAGCTCTCTCCGTTCTCGTTGTATGATCTCCAAGGCACCAATGGCTGTCAAGATGTTCTCTGCTATTGAGCGCCCTTGAACGAACGCACCTTGATCCGTATGAACAAGGCTGGGGAGATATGGTGCCAACCTTCTAGCTAGAAGCTTATCTAATATCTTGTAGGAGACATTCAATCTTGAGATGGGCCGCCAATTTCGTATGTTGGACTTGTCGCCCTTTTTGTAGATTAATGTGATAATTCCCAGCTTCATGTCCTCTGTCAATGCTCCTCCGTCCAAGATGTGGTTATAGAGAGAGAGAAGGTCCGGACCGATGTGCTCCCAGATCGCCTCATAGAACTCAACAGGTAGGCCATCTGATCCGGGACTCTTGCCATGTGCCATACTCTTGACCACCTCCCATAGCTCCTCCAATGTGATTGGACGTTCAAGGTTAAGTCGCGCCTCTAGGGACAGGCTAATGTGCGTGTGCTGCCAGATGTCATGCTCTGCTCTCAGTTGCTGCAGAGTGAGATCTGGCTGTCTTCTGCTTGTCAATATGTCGCTGAAGTAGGCCAGGGCATGCTCACCGATTTCTAGAGAGCTCCTAACGGTCGCTGCTTCCGGATAGAAGGGGTGCTGTAGTTCCCTTATCCACACGTGTGCCCGAGGCGGGCATAGGTGTTGGAAGGTTTCTTTTGAAAGCCTGACACCGGTAATCATTCCCTTCTCTTATGCTCTCTTGGCCCAGAGAACCTGCTGCTCCACTTGCAGGTCTTCCAATTTTTGCAGCCATCGGTTCCTTTGATGTTGCCAATAGAGTTCCGCCAACGGATCTTTTTCCAGCTCTGCCTCTGCTTCCGCGATCATGTTGCGACATTCTTCCTCTTGCTGTCTTCTAGTTCTTGCTTGCATCCTTGAGAAGGCGTCTAGTGCCCTTGTAACGATTCGGAGGCCCATCTGCAGCCAATTTGTTTCTGTGTCGAAGGCAGGCTTCATTTGCTGCCAGTCTCTCCAGTGTGCTGCGACCCACTCTGTGACACTGGGGAGGTTGAGCAAGTCTGTGTTTAAATGGAAAGTGCCAGGGCCTCGGGTAAGGTCCATTACCAGCTCAAAGCTTGCTGCAAGAGGACGGTGGTCGGACATCGATTCAATGCTACAACTGACTGTGGTTACGGCCTCCCACGGCGCCCCTTTGGCTAGGATGAGATCGAGTCTTCTCTTAGGAGGCGGCCTGTTCCTTGTTTGCTGTGAGGAGAACCAGGTGAAGCCTGGTTCAGGCGGATGTGTGGTTCGAAATGTGGCCGTTAAACCTCACGTTGTCATAAAGTTACACAGCATCGCCTCATCGGTCTTTCTCGGTGCCACCGCAGGTGAGTCCAGACCTGGTGTGAGAGTCATGTTAAAGTCGCCCGCCAATATGAGATTGTCCACATCTGACACAATTGCAGGGAGCTCCTCGAAGAAGGATCTCCGTTTTGCAGGCTCCGCTGGTGCATAGATAGTCATAAAAGTCCAATTTTCTGACCCTAATTGCAGCAGAACATATGCCCAGCGGCCCCAGATGTCAAGCTCTTTGTCCAGAATCTCAGCGTCCAGATTTCTGTGGAGCAGAATCGCACAGCCTCCTCTGGTGTCCGCTGCTGAGGCCCAAATCTGTGGGCCTTGCCACCAGTTCTGAATTTGCTGGATTCGATCCTCATCCAACTTGGTTTCTTGCAAGAACAGGACCTGGATCTTCTGATCATGCATCCAAGTTCTTATACTTGGCTTCTTGTGGCGTTTCGTGGAGTCACCCAGCCCCCGTACGTTCCAAGTGCCCATTTTAAGCCCGGTCATAAGTAGGTCTTGCGCAGCGACTGGTTGGATCCGCGGTTCCTCTTCCGTTTGCTGTCTGGGCTGATTTAGTCGTCTAGCTGCCTCTGGTTCCGGAGGTGTCCCCCATGCTGCTAACAAGAGTCTGCATAATGTGGTTGTTTGTCCGTTGCCAGCATATTGCAGAAGTCTGCCACAAACTTGGCATTGACATCGTCAGTGAGGTAGATGTCCTGAAGTTCTTCTGTTGCGGTGGAGGCCAGCCAGGTGGACGACAGCCACACCACGCCTTGTGTTGTCAGCAAGGCTGCAGCATCGAGGCCCACCTTGACATCTAGCATCACGATGGAGAAGTGCCAACTTCCTCCCGCTGCTGTAGCTGTCGTCTTTCGTCCAATGCGCAACCCCGGAATCAGCCGGAAGGGGAAGCAGTCCGCAATGAAGGTTGTAGCGATCCCCTTGATGGCCTCCTTGGTTGTCGGTGAAGCACTGACAGCGATCGCTGGTATGGCGAGTTGCCCATTGTCCGTGCGTCTGGCCATAAATTTGCACCCTTGCGGTGACAGCATGAAGTACAGCAAAACCAGCTGGTGTCTAATCATGCTTGCCCCCACTTGACTGCTAGACGGCTGAGCTGCTAGCGGTGCTTTTTGCATATTTGAAGGTGGCGGCAAAGGACCTTGAACAGTTACACCTTGTGTTGCGGCACTTGCGCTTGAAGTTGTGATGGCAAAGAAGTCAATGTCTCCCTCCTCCTCCTCTCGCATGATTTGGCCATCCCCATCCTCGTTCATCCGCCTTTGCTTGACCGGGGTGCGCAGAACTAGCCTATGATCTCGCATAGCAGCGTCTGCGGTTCCCTGGCCGACGAAGGGATTCGCTGCTGCCTGTCTCTGATCCCCGTCCATTTGGTCTGGAACTGCATGCATGCCTGGCTGCATGTGCTCTCGTGGCTCTGTTGTGGGAGCAGGTTGTGTTCTAAATACAGGGATGTTGTAAGTGTTAAAAGTCTGCAGTGAGGGGGAGAGTTGGGATGGGTGGAAGGTTGGATATCCTGAGGCAGAACTCGTGGTGGCCTGATTGGCCTGATTGGCCTGATTGGGGCTGGTTAGTGGTGCTGGAGAGGGCGCCGGCTGAAGTGGGAGTGGATGAGGTTCTCTGAGGTGTCCTTGATGAAGGGGGGCTCCAATCTGAAGTGTCGGTGGTGGGGGGTGGTGTGCGATCGAAACGAGGGGTGGTGATCTGATGAAAGCCGACAAGCTCAGCTGAGGCAGAGCATTATGAGCTTCGCTGGGCAGGAGAGGTGGCTGTAATATGGCAGCCGCTGGTCTCGCTGCGTGAAGCGCTGGTTGGAGGTAAGTTGAGGTAGGGTCGGTTGTCTGTAAGGGCTGTTGTGGTGGGAGAGGGTGGTAGGGGACCATTAGTCCTTTTGTGTTTCCATGAGGGATGGGGTGCAGAGAGTTGTTGTGCATGAGGGGGTCAGTGCGTGGTATTGGGGAAGGGGGTCTGTTATGTCGACTTTGTTGTTGGGAGACTGGGGGGATGGGGGCTCCTTGGGGATGTGGGTGCACTGGATGGCTGAGTGTGATGGGAGGTGGGATGCGGGGTTGTCTCTGCTGAACTCGAGTGCTCTGTGTCTGGGTACGTGGCGAAGGGGGGGCTTCACGGCCCCCTCTTCGGTTACTCCCGCGACCTCGACCTCTGGACCTTCTACCGGGTGGCATTGGTTCATTGAACCGTGGGCAATCCGGATCGAATTCGTCATGGAACCACCAGAGGCATTTCTGGCAGAAGATGGTATCCTGATTGGCGAATTGAACTCGTAAGAGCTGCCCTGTCAGCCAGCGGAGGGCGATCTACTCTATGAAGTTGTCTCTGACAGAGGGATCGCCGTCTATTTTGACGTTCCCTAGGCGTGGCTCATCCTCTCTTTTTTCAGGGGGGTGCATGTAGATGATGGGGCCCATCAGCCGTTGGATTGTGTTTCTCAAAGAAAATATAGCTCCCAGGGGGACTCTGAGGGCTATGATTATGAATTTCGCTGCAGATTCCGCATCTCTGAGCTGATCCAGCTCATGTTGTGTCATCCAAGGACAGAAGGTCACTCTGACCGGACCGTCTCTTGTAGGGATGAATTGAGAGCCCTTGGTAATCATCCACTGTGCGATCTGCTGTGTTCGTGCCACATAGGACATTACATTGGGTCCCTCCCCATGCGTGCGCCCTCTCTTGCATGTCGGGTTGAAAATTGACATCCTCGAACCATGCGTCCTCATAGATGCGGATGAACTGTTCCCGCTGTGCTACCAAAAAAGTGGCTGCTCTTGAGTCGAAAATAACGATAACGGTCCTCTCTTTTAACCAAGCTACGGTAGCCACGTCGACCTTTTCACTTTAGTTAAGGTAACCCACCCCATCCACGATTTCTACCTCCCCATGAGAGAAGGATGTCTCTGGAAAGAGACCATCATCGTAGCAGCCATCGAGGAGGCTACGGATTCTCAAATGATCATCGAATGGGGCTGGTATCTGCGAAGGGCCTGCCATGGTGCCTGCTTGGTGGTCTGGATAGTTCCCGGCTCTAAACGGGTCGTTTCTGCTCATTGTGGGGTCAGGCTGCGGCAAGGCAATATCTCGACTGAAAGGGCAGGTGTAGGATTGTTGGACGAGGTCAGGGCAGTTAGGGTGGGGTTGGCCTATCGCATTTGCTAGCCCAATATTGGCCTATCCTGGAGTAGGAGTGACAAATGGCGTGGTTTCAGTAGCGGGGGGAACGGGTGTAAAGGCGAGGTTGGACACGTGGGATTATGCCAGGTATTGACGCTACGAGGGGATAGACTATGTGTACGGGAGAAGGGGCAAGGTTGGATTTGTTGGTTTGTGTCACTTATCGACTTTACTAGGGACATTCGTATATGGTTGGGCGCAATGATTTTTACGGGATCGCAACGGAAGGGTAGGTTCAAAGGTAGCCGATTCAGTGGGGTGGTGGGCAGAGAGGCAAGGCGAGTAGAATCGAGTATACATGTTAACTAAACGGTGGGGGATAGATAGGTTCGCCGAAAGCAATGGTTGACCAATCGTTCATAGTCACGACAAGGGCATATGTAGGGGGGGGGAGGGGGGGGGGGGGGAGTCTGCTACGATGGTGAGTACGGGACGAGAGCATAGGAGTGTGGTCGGAGTTGGTGGGTTAGATTGCGAGTGCGGAAGAAGGGGAGGGGGGAGACGGTGTCACTGGGGTCAAGGGTTGAGTGGGCGTTGATGGTCACGAAGAGGGCAAAGTCGGGGGGGGGGGGGAGGGATGCCTATTGCGATGATGAGTGCGAGACATGTTTACGGAAAGATGGTGGAAGTATAGATGTGGAATTGCAATAGTTATCCACACGACAGGCAAGTTTGCATGTGGGGGGGCGCGGTGATTTGCGCAGGTGGACGTGTTGGGGGAGGTGGATTTCAGAAGAGCTGGTATGCCGACGGGTAAGAGTGGCAACACCACCGAGGTGAAGGGTTGACTAGGCGCTAGTAGTAGCGACAAGAATAGATGTACTAGTGTGCGAATGACATGTCTGCGAGGGGAAAGTGATTTAGGAAAAAGACGAGGGTTGCCATTGCAGTGCACATCACCTGGTCTTGCATGCAGTTGAACTCTTATGTGTGGGTTAGAAGTTGCCGAGGGAGATCAACTGTTAAAGCTTTCGCCCTAGTAGTCAGGCTGGGTTGCAGCAGTGCTCGTCGGGGACAGGGCGTCAACGCCTGTCCGTATTACTCATAGATCACATGGATGTTGATGTTAACTAACTCGACCACTCCCCCCCCTGCCCCCCCTGTTTCCTTTGAGACGGGTTGGCTTGGCGATGGATGCTAGGCAGGGTCGCGGGCGATGCTCACTTTCCCCGGCTTCGTGCCCACTTGGTGAGTGGCAAGACCAGTTCCCCTGAACCGGTAGTGCTGTGGCTGAGCGCTCCGCGCCAGCCGTAGCGCCTCCCCAAAAATGCATGGCGCCAAAACCTTTTCTCTTTTTGGCCGCCCAAAGCTCGGCCCTTCGGTACTACAGGCCCGAATGTCTTCAACTTGGGTGAAAGGCGCCTTCGCGCCGTGACCACAGCTCCCTTGGCCGGTACTTACCGGTTGATGAATTTGGTGCTGGTTTTGCACCAGATTCAAAAAAAGAGCAGAGTCTTTCCGTAAAGAGCAAAAGAAACTTCGCTGAGATTGGAACGATACTTAGAATTAGCACTGACCTCAACGAAGCACAAAGAGCGGCCTCACCACTGTACTCGCGAAACGCGAAAATGTCGATATGGAGTGCGCCCAAGAAGTAGCCACTCATATGATGCCAGCTGTTGCGGAGTGCGCCCAGGTAGCACATCTCGATTGGTAGAAGGCGCCAACGCCAAAACCTTTTCAATGTTTTTTTTTTTTTTTTTTTTAAAGGAACACATTCAGATTCATTACGAAAAATTGGATTGACTGAGGTCGGGGTCCTCATAACTCAACCCGGGGTTATCCCGGCAGCATCAGCCGGTTTAGCTTATGCCAAACTACCATTATCATTCCTCCCCTTCCTACCACCTACCAACCATTCTCCATCCAACCATTCCTACTTTTGAAGACCACTAAACTTTCCTATCGACTAAAGGCTACCCCCGGAGTCTACAGGACTCGGATTCTACAGACTCCCCTCTCCACGATCCTAGCCCGGATCGGTTGGCCTCCTGCGGCCTCTACCCAATATACTACTTTCCCCACCGAGAGGGCAGGTGGGGATAGGGCAGTGCCACTGTCCAATCATTCCCTGAGCCAGGACGAAAACACCAGTTTTCCTTCTACACTTACCCCTACCAATTGACTGTTTCTTGCCCATGTGGACAGAAACCAAGTCCTACCGCCCGGGGATCTCCCTTTGTCCGCTTTGCGGTGCCAATCAACCAAAATCATGGTTCAAATCAGTGCCTTCACTTTCCGCTTGACAGTCTCATCTGCCTGCCATTCGTCTTTGAACATAATTTGGTTGTGGTCCTCCCAAATTATCCACATCACCGCTGACCTGATCGCCTGAGCCATGTACCCGCAACCCTTTTTTGAGAAAAAAAGTGGAGGGAGGTGGCCAGTAGCTATCCACTCCCTATCCCATACCAATGCTGATCCCAAATTCTGTCAGTGCCCAACCCACCATCTCCAAATTCTCTTCGAGGTTGGATAGTCCCAAATTAAGTGGAGAATTGTTTCTTCTTCTCTATTTTCGCATCTGGGACAGGTTCTCCTGATCTGCATTCCTCTGTCGGCCAACCAGGTTGCTGACGGGATAGCCGAATGGGATAACAACCAGAGGAGGCCCGGAAACTTGATGCTCGGGAGCAGAGGTAGCTGTGCCCAGAGAACCTCCATCAGTCTTTCGGATGGGGGGGCGGGCAGTAAGAAAGTTCGTGTAGCTCGCTCCTTAATCTCTGGGACATATGATCTCGATGCGCTCAAGATCTTTCTTCCCATGCCAGAGGTATAATGCGCCAGAGAGTTATTGTTCCGACTAATCTCCTCCCACTTGATCGAGGCTGGATCCAGCCTGAGCTTGCTGATTTCTTTCCCATTCTGAACAACCCTCCAATCCTCCCTCTCATGTTTTCTTCCCATACTAATCACTCTGATCATGTTCCAATTATGAATTGCTGTAACTTTGTCCTCCCCATTGTTCCCTAGTTTTCCTTCAACCCCCTCAAGGGGTTGTACGTCCCATCTGTACACTCTCCACTCCCCTTCCTCCAGTTGTTCCTCGACTCTGTAACAGGAGTTCATTCCTCCACCTATTGTGGCCTCCTTATACCAGGCATTCTTCACTAGCTCTTCTCCCTAACTCAATAACGCCAGCCAGTTTGGTGGGATAGCCTCTATCAATGCTGACAGTTTCTCGCCCACTCCACTCAATTTCCCCAATTTGAGTCGAACCTCCCTTTCTGTCTTCCACTCCAATCGCTCCTCCTCCCATATGTCTTGCACCTTCGATATACCCCTTTCCACCCACTTCCTTCCAAAGTTTCTTTTTGATGCCGCTACCGCAGAAAAGGGGAGCCCGCCCGTTCTGAGGATCCTCTTATTATCAAACAGGGTCTAGGTTAACACTTCTTCCTTGACTGTCGGCATAGGCAATTTCCTCGACTTGAGTTTCCTCCATGCTATCCACCACGCCAGACCGATCGCCGATCTTGGTCTGCGATTTCCAAATGAGGCCATCCGGAGGCAAGTCGAGACATCCTCTGGTCTGCTGAGCTGAAACTCTTGTTGTAGGATATGCAGCATGATGTCTAACCAATTTCTTCTTTCTGCTTGCATTACCACCTTCATAATCCACTTGCCTAGAAGAGACATGGTTTGTCTTTCCGGATCAATTATTTCTAGACCACCCTCCTCTCTAGGGATCGCCACTTTATCTTATGCTACTTTGGAAATGTATCTGTCCTGTTCCTCCACCCGTGGCTTCCACAAACATTTGGTCGCCGCTGCTTTCAACTTATGGATCGTTGGCTTGGTTATCAGCAAGACTGCAGCAATATGCTAAAGCAACGAGAAGACCACCGCAGTAGTCACCATTGCACTACCCATCAGCGATAACTCTGGGGTCGCTTTGCATTTAGAGATACTTGCTTCTACTCTCCCGAGCAGGATGGTGTCTTGTGCTGGGTGGATGTTCGTCAGGGATACTTGGACTCCCAAATACCTCTCTGATTCACTCTCGTTGATTCTTTTCATCGTCCAGTCATCCGGCCGGGCAAACTGAGAAGGTAAGAAGTACAAGGACTTGTCCCAGTTGACTCTGGCCTTTGAAAGGTCTGAGTATTGGTCTAACAGGGTTTTTGCTGGCGCAGTTGATTTTTTTGTGGTCTCCATAATTAGCAGAAGATCGTCCGCAATTGCTCCTACGAGAACCTCCACCTCATCTCTCAATCTCAGACCTTTGACCAGGGGTGTTGTCTGGAGGGAGTTCAAGAAGACTTCCATTTGAAGCACAAACAGCAGGGGGGTCATCAGACACCCCTGCTTCAGAGACCGTGAGAGCTCAAAATTCTGAGACTGCCTTCTATTTACTAGCATCGAGGCCGTGGAGTGACAGTACATTGCATCTATCCAGCTGGGAAAAGGAGCCCCGAAGTTCATGTACTCCAGCGTTGCTAGGACAAACGACCAATTGACACGGTCGTATGCTTTTTCCAGGTCCAACATGGCCACCATTACTTGCCTCTTCTCTTTACTGATCACTTCTAGTGCTCCCATCGCGACTAAGATGTTTTCCGCAATAGACCTTCCCTTCATGAAGGCGCCGTAGTCCGCACACACCAGCTCTGGAAGAACCTTCGCCAACCTCCTGGAGAGGGCTTCTGCCAGGATCTTATATGCAACATTCAGCAGGGAGATCGGCCTCCAGTTCCTCACATTTTGCTTGTCTCCCTTCTTGTACACTAGTGTAATTGTCCCTCTGTACATGTCCTCTGTCAGTCTCCCTCCTTCCAATACCTTGTTGAAAATTCTAAGCAGGATTGGTCCCACTTGTTCCCAGGTTGCTTCGTAAAATTCAACGAGTAGTCCATCATCCCTTGGTGTCTTACCCCTTGCCATGCTCTTCACCGCCTCCTGGAGTTCCTGCAGAGTTAGTGGGAGATCCAGCAGCTGTCGTTGATGCGGCAGTGCGACACTAGCCTTTTGTCTGTGTTTTTCCACAGATCCACCTCTTGCCTCATTTCCGCCAACGACACTGCCGGAGACCTTCTTGAGGTCAGAATGTTACTGTAATAAGTCATTGCATACTCAACCATGGTCTTTGTGTCCTCAGCCAAGTCTGCCTGCGCGTTGAAAGAATGTTTCAGTGTACGAATGATCCCATGTGACCAGGGGGGGCACAACCTCTTGAAGGTGTCCTTCGTCATTCGATCCAGTCGCGTCATACCGCGCTTCTTGGCCCTCCTTGCCCAAACCTCTTGCTGTTCTACCTACAAGAGTTCCCATTTGCTCGGCCATTTGTCCCTGCGATGCTCCCAGTACATGTCTGTATTTGGATCTTTTCCAATCTGTTGTTCCGCCTCCTGCACCATTCTTCTGCAGTCCTCTTCCTCCCCTCGTCGTTCCTTGGCCAAAATTCTGGAAACAATGTCCATTGCCTTAGTCACCATTTGAAAACCCACTTGTACCCACTCCTCTTCTGAGCTGAACCACTCCCTTGTTTTTTCCCAATCTTCCCAGTGCCTGCTGCACAATTCGAGGACTGCCGGATTTTTCAAGTTCTCGGTATTTAGCTGAAAATATCCTTTTTCCTTTCGACTATTCGTCCCTACTCTGAAGACCGCTTTTACTGGCCAATGGTCTGACATTGGGTGTGGGACAATCTCCACCTCTGAAACTGCGTCCCAGGCTTCCCCCTTCGCCAACAACAAATCTAGTCTGCGCTTAGGAGGTGCTGTGTTCCCACTGCGCTGGGCCGAGTGCCACGTGTATTCCTATGCCTCTGGGTGGATACAGCGATAGGAGTTCGTCAGTTCGTAAGTGGCCATTAACTATTCCAGCAGGACCGCATCTTCCTTCCTTGGTCCAGGGATGGGAGAGTCCAATCCTGGGCACAACAATGTGTTTAGGTCCCCTGCGATAACCATGTGATCAGCTTCAGGGATTACATTCGGTAAGTCCCTGAAGAAGGACCTGCGTTCTCTTGGAGTGGTTGGGGCATAGATCGACATTAAAACCCATATCTGCCCTGCAAAACGGAAACGCACCCACACCCATTGGCCCCAGACATCATATTGGCTTTCCAAGATCACAACTTCCAAACTGCTATGAATCAAGATAGCATTCCTCCCTTTGTCTCATCAGCTGGAGCCCACCATTGTGGTCCTCGCCACCATGTTCTTGTGTGGTCTATCTTGTCCTTGTCCAACTTTGTTTCTTGGAGAAAAATCACCTGCACACGTTTTGTATGCACCCAGGTCTTCAGCCTTGATTTTTTGTGCCTTCCAGTTGTATCCCCCAATCCCCTAAAGTTCAATGTCGCCATGTGGACCTTATCCATTACTGGCTACTGGCGCGGCAGTTTGTTGGATCCGCCCGTCTATTTGCTCTATCACTACCCTTTCTTCTCCGACCTTCTCCCTCCGGCTGGGCTTCCCAAGGCTGTGTCAGCAGGTTTCTAAAGGATATTGTCCAGGGCTGCTTGTCAAACGGCAACGACCCATAGAATGTTGACACGATTTCTGCTTTGACCTCCCCCACTAACTGGACTTTGGCTGCTTGTGACATAGTCTTGGAGTCAAACCACTGTGGGGGTACCCACTGCAGTCCTTTTGTCTCCAGAGCTACTGCTATTTCCACCGATATCTTGACATCCACCATGGCAATGTAGAAGTGGAACACCGCCCCTCCCTCTGCTTCCACACTCTTACGACCAATCTTAATCCCGAAGATTAGCCTGAGCGGGAAACGCCCTGCTGCAAACTTCAAAGCAGCTGCCCTTATCGCCTCCTTGGAATTCGGGAACTGGTTCACTTGAATGGTAGGAAGAGCAAAACCACCTCTTTCTGATTTTCCCACCATTATTTTGGTCCCTTGGGGGGCTAATGAGGAGCACACCGGGACCACATAGTGGCTGCGTTGGTGTCCTCCTTATGCCGATGATGCAGCTGGTTGTTTTCCTCTTTGTCTCGAATCTCAATCTTCATCTGGCCTTCCCCGTTGAGTTGGTGGTGATGCAATGTTAAAAAACTCCTCTTCCCCTTCTCCATCCTCCCCTTCCCTGGTGGGTTCTGCGTTTCCTGCTTCCCCCACTCTTCTTGTTTTGATTGGGGTTAACAGGGATGACCTGCTGCCTGGATCTCTCATTATTTGATCCGGCAGACCCCTTCTTTCTCCTCGTTCTGCCATCAGAGCCTCCTCTACCTCAACCCCCCTTCCACTGTCACCACCACCATCTCTACTGCTATGTATCTCCAAGTTTACTTCTCTTGTACCAATCAATGCCAGAGCCGCAACCTCGTCTTCACGATTTTCCACCGAGAACTCCGGATTAATCCTGATAGCCACATAGGACTGATGCAATGTACCCTGTCCTTCGGATTGGTTTCGGTCTTGCTGAACAGAGATCCCTGTCGGTTCAAGGTGTGTCTACAGTCTGTCTTGCTGCTGCGTTGTCCTAGGCATAAAAAAATGAGCCTTGTGGTACCCCCTGACCTCCATATGTCTCTCCTTGTGGCTGTGTACTGCTCGGAGTTCTCCTCCCAGTCTCCATACTCCTATTCCCCCATCTTATTCCCCTTCCAAATCCCCTGTCCATGTCCGCGCGCAGCCCATCTGTTGGAGTCGGGAGGGTAGGACGTAGCCAACTTCTCGCAACCGGAATCTGGGGCGTCGGGATGGGGTACTCTCCCATCATGCTTCCTCGACCTTGCTCGGCCCAAGGGTGGATCGGGAGGAGGGGAGTTGGAGCAAGCGGGGCAGAGATTAAACCGCCCCCTAGCCTCCACCTATGCTCCGAAGCCCTTGTAGCGGTTAGCTGTCCCACCTGTATTGGCCTAACTGCCACCATTGATGGAGAAAATAATGGTTGAGTGTTCCTCATCTGGACGTTTCCCGCTGATTGGATGGCGGCCCCTCTACCTCCTGTCCTTCTCCCCTACTCCGTTCCTATGCATAGGGGATGAAAGTTCACCCCAGTTCCTCCTTCCGTAGCCACCGGGGCCGTTGACCAATACACCACCAAGGCACCCTAATTCGGTGTGGGCTCGCTTGAAGACGGGGTCTGGTGGTGCTGAAGTTGTTGCTGGCTCAAACTCGAGGAAACCCCTCTACGTTGCGGGCCTCCTCTTCCTTGTGCGGTACTTCTCCCCCCGCCCGTACCCTGCGCTCCTCTCGGACCACCTCCTCTTCCTCTGCCTCTTGCTCCTCTCCCTCTGCCTCGTCTGCCTCCTCTCCCCTCCGGCATGGGTTCACTAGACCTAGGACAATCCGGATCAAACTCGTCATGATACCACCACAAACACTTATTGCAGAAGGCAGTTTCTTGATTCACAAACTGCACTTCCACGAAGCCCCCTGTAGGTTTGCTCACGACGATCGACTCAAAAAAGGTCTGTCTAACCTCAGGCACACAGTCTATTCGAATATTTTCCAACCTTGGCTCATCTGCTCTTCTCTCCAGCGGGTGCATGACCAAAACTCTTCCCATGAATCTTTGTACAACATACCTATGGGATGGTAATGCCTCAAGAGGGACTGAAGGTGCAATAATCCTAAGCTATCCTACTTCGTCGTTGTCTCTCATCTCATCCAATTCTTGGTTGGTCATCCATGGTTTAAAGAGGACTTTGACCGCCCCGTTCATCGTCGGGATCCTATCTTCCCCTTTGGCAATCAGCCACTGTGCTATTCTCTCCATTCTCGCCGCATATGAGGACACGTTCGGCCCCTCCCCATGTGTCCTTCCCCTCTTCTGTGTAGGGTTGATATCTGCCTCTTGGTACCACGCATCTTCGAAAACTCCGATTAGCTGTTCTCTCTGAGTCACGCTTAAGGACGTCGCCGGCTCGTCAAAGATGACTATCACCGTCCTAGCTTTCAACCAACTGGCTGTTGCTACGTCTATTTCCTCGTTCAGTGTCAGATATCTTATCCCATCGATAATTTATGTCTCCCCAAAATCAATATTGGAATCCGAGAATAGGCCGTCATCAAAACACAAGTCGAGCAGCGTCCTAAGTTTGTTCCGATCATCTGCCCCCGCTTGCTCTGACGAAGATGACGCTTCTCTACCACCCGTTGCCCCTGTCGGAGGGGTGGGGATTTACCGAACGTTTGGTGCCTTGAGGTATACAGATACCACCTCGTTTGTCTTTACTCTTTTCTGAATCCTTTTCCTCCCCCTTCTGTTCTCCTCCCCAGTACCCTTCCCTTCCTACATTAACAGCGTGGATACTCTCCCTATTCTTTAAATTACTTGTTGACATCCCCCTTCACTTTCCTCTCCATGGGTCAGCTCCTTTCTTCGCCTCTCTGACTTCACTGCACCCGATATCTTCACCTCTCCCACTCTCGTTAATTAACCCTACGCACCTCCGATTCTTCTGCCTCAATTTAGGGTCCCACATCACTGATGCTAGCGCCACGTGGCGCCACGTCTTCTCCTCATTTGACTCATTATAATGTGCTTATCGCTTGACTCCCGACCACTGGCCCGCTTTCATTCCTCCTCCTTATGTGAAGGGGTTTGACCCGGCTATGGTCGGGTAGGCTTCGACATTATCTCGGACTCCGGCCTCGTGCCGGGCTCGGTGGCAGTGGCACCAGTCCTCCCAAACCGGTAGCGCACGACGGAGCGGTCCTACGCCCGGCGTTGCGCCCGTCCCCCTGTTTTTCAACCTTTTCCGTGTTTTTTTTTTTTTTTTTTTTTTTTTTTTTTCAAGAACACCACATTGTTACTCATTATCAAAAAAGGTCACGGGGGGCGGCCAACCCCCACATAACGGCCAATACTGGGAGCATTACCCAGCTTCGCTTTTTACGAGACCGAAAGGACCCGATTGAACCAAAAAAAAGAAAGGGAGAAGGGGAGGCAAGAGAGGGCTGGGTAAAAGAGAACAACTATTCTACTCAATGCGAAAACGCCGGTAATAGACAAGTCAAGTTCTACACCCCCCTCCTTCCCTTACTATCCATTTCCTCAACAGGCTTAAATCGACCCCACGAGCCTAAAGCGACTCAGATTCTACTGTGAGCCTCTCTGTAACACTGCGATTCTGTTGCACGCAGATATCCGTATTGCCCTCCTGCGGACCTGAAAACCGAGAAAGCCAGGTATAGAAAAGTGTAACAACAGATAAATTTCCCTGAATTAAATAACTATTCTTGAGTGATATTACATTCTAAATTTCAAATTTTCATTCCATCTTAAAAAATATCATTCCAATTTTTAAATTTTCCGTCTTACTTGAAAACTTTCCTTCCAAGATGGGGTATCCCTTCTTATTTGAATTGCATGCTAGAGATGGAATGAAAGTCTGGATGAGTTCATGAAATATTTTAATTGGACTGCCATTCTAAGTAAGGATATCCAGTCATAATTAGGTTAATCCAATCTAAATTAGACGATATTTGTTGTAGTAGAATGAAAGTCGTATAAAAAAATTCATAGACTTGTCCAGACTTTCATTCCATCTTGAACAAATAGATGAAATTGGAAGGGAAAACTCATATTTAGACGAAAACTTATCAAATTAAATTGAAAATTTTAAAATTGGACAAACATTGGAATGATAATTTATGAATATGAAGGATTTTTTTTTTTATGAAATGTTTTTTCAACTTTCATTTCTCATGGGAGTTTTTCTGTTGAACAATTCTAACTCTGTACTTAGTGGGCAGGGGAGGAAACACTTAAAGGAAAGCAAAGGAGAAACAAAAAAAAACGAGGAAAGAAACAAAAGAAAACAAAAAACACAGGAAAAAACCAAAAGAAAAGGAGAAATTGAGACACACTCTTCCTAAGTTAACTGGACCCATTCTCCAACATCTGCTCACTTGTTAAGCCACGGTGAAATAACCAATTTGCCTTCAATCTTGACTGCAGCCAGCTGACATCCTCTTGCCCAAGTAAAAAGAAACCACTGCCTTCCCTTGGGGGAGAGACCTCTGTTTGCTTTCCGGATCCAATCTGCGTGGATCATCGTTCGAATGATTGTCTTTATCTTGGCTTTGATTGTCATGTTTGACGACCATTCCTTTCTCAACAGAATACTGTTGCGGTCCTCCCATATCACCCACATGATGACTGATCTGATTGTTTGGGCCATGTAGCCCCATCCCTTTTGCTTGAAGAACACAGCTGGCAGGAAACCGGTCCGAACCCACTTTTGATCCCATGTTAGGGCTGAACCCATATCTTTCCAATGTAAAGCCCACCAATGCCAGATACGAGATAAGGCTGAGTAGTCCCAGACCAAGTGATTCAGGGTTTCCTCCTGTCTGTTCCCACACCGTGCACAAGTTCTGGCCACTGGCATGCCTTTGTCTGCTAACCAAGTTGCAGTTGGGATCGCCGAGTGTGAGAGGAGCCAGAGGAGACCTGCCTTTTTCAGGCAAGGCATAAGTTGCAGTTGGGTCCAGAGCAGTTGCCTGAACTCCCTTGGCAGCGGGGCCTCCATGTTTAGTAATCTTGCAGCCCTATCACTTATCTTTGCAATATAATCCTCCGAACAACAGAGAGTTTCTCTCCCTACCTGAGTATTGTAGTGATGTAATGTAATGGGCTGCTGGTCCCGTGTCCAGCTGCAAGTAACTGGATCAATTCTTAGTTCAGTAATTGAAGCTCCTCCCAAAACCAGCGTTGGATTGCTTTGTCCATTGCAGCCTACCTTGTATGTTATACGGATGGGGATCAGGGTTCGGTCATTGGTCAGGATCACTTTTCCCCCTTTTCTTAACTTCTACTTGCCTGGTGGACCCTGCAGTTGTCACTCCGTTGCTGTTCGCGTCTCATTATCAGCGACATCTGCCTCATCTGCCTCATCTGTGTCGCTGTTCGTGCTGTCCAAGCCGGGGGCTGCCTGATCTTCGACCTGATAAATCTTCTGGATGTGCTCTCCCTCTCCGTATTCTTTGTACCACGCTCCCGTCTTTGGGCAATTATCTCCTTTGAGCAGCTTTACCCACTCATCCGGTATTGCTTGGATTAAACAACCCAACTTGGCACCCACCTCATGAACTCTGCCAAGTCTCTGCCAGACTTCGGTTTTAGATTTCCAGTCCCATCTTTCCTCAGCCCAGATGTCCCGAACCTGAGACACCCCCTTTTCCACCCACTTCCTCCCGAAAGCTCCTTTCTGGTTAGATGCGGGGAAAACAATTCCTGTTCTTTGTTTCATAGCCTGATTCTCGAACAATGGTTGAACCATGACGTCTTCTCAAGTGACGGGCTCCGAGGACTTGGGTTTCATCAGCTTTTGCCAGGCTATCCACCACACCAGTCCAATTGCAGATCTCGGCCTGCGGTCCTGGAAGGAAGGCATCTGAAGGCAGACCCAGACGTTTTCCTTTCTTGCTAAGCCAAACTCTTGCTGCAGGATGTATTGAAAGATCTCTAACCAGCTGCGCTTCTCTGTCTGATTGCAAACTTTTTGAAGCCACTTCCCGAGGAGTGCCAGATTCTGCTTCTCTGGGTCTAGGATACCCAGACCCCTGTCTTTGTTAGATTGAGTAACCTTGGACCATGAGACTTTGGAGATAAATCCTTCCTGGTCTTCCCCATTTGGTTTCCCCAAGTAATGGGCTGCCAACGATTTGATCTTTTGTAAAGTCGTGCGAGAGATTAGGATGACTGCAGCAATATGCCATATAAGCGAAAAAATCGAGGTATTGATGACAGCGGCTCGACCCATCAAAGAGAGGCCTACCGCCCCTCTGCACCTCTTTACTATGGCCTCCACTCGAGCTGCCAAGACTGCATCTTGAGCTGGCCTGCTGTTGGTCAGGGAGACTTGCACTCCCAAATAGCGCTTCGATTCTTCATCCTTGATTCTTTTCATTGTCCAATCATCTACCAAATCAAATTCCTCACGCAGAAAGTATATTGATTTATCTCAGTTAACTTTCGCCTCAGACAGGGCCTCGTACCTGTCAAGGACTGCCTTTGTCTCTCGTACTGAAGATTCTGTTGCTTCTGTGATCAAGAGGAGGTCATCTGCGATTGCCCCGGTAAGTACCTCGACTCCTTCCCTTAGCTGCAGGCCTTTAACCACTGGTGCTGCTCTCAAAGCATTTAACACCACCTCCATTTGAAGAACGAAGAGTAAGGGAGCGAGCGGGCACCCTTGTCTGAGAGAGCGGGAGAGGGAGAAAGTGCGTGATCTCCTGCCATTCACTAAGACAGACGCCATGGAAGATTTGTACATTACCGCTACCCATGTACGAAACTGTACTCCAAAGTTCATGTGTTCCAAAGAGGCTAAGACAAAAGACCAGTTTACTCTGTCGTAAGCTTTTTCCAAATCCAGCATAGCGACCATCACCTGTCTCCTTTCCTTGCCAATAATCTCCAGGGATCCCATTGCTACCAAAATATTTTCAGCAATAGACCTACCCTGCACGAAAGCTCCCTGATCCGCCTTCACTAAGTTTGGTAGGAACTCTGCAAGCCGCCTAGCCAAAGTCTTTGCCAAAAACTTATACGACACGTTTAACAAAGAAATCGGGCGCCGATTTCTGACGTTCTGTTTGTCACCCTTTTTGTAAAGGAGCGTGATTACACCCCTGCACATATCCTCTGTTAAAATACCACCCTCTAAGACCTTGTTAAACAGATTCAAAAGGATAGGACCTACCTAACTCCATGTGGCCAGGTAGAATTATACTGGGAGACCGTCGTCCCCTGGAGTTTTCCCCTTGGCCATACATGCCGCTGCGTGGAGTTCTTCCAATGATATAGGTCTGTCCAAGGCTAGCCTTTGATGTTGCTCGAGTGAGCGATCTGAGGCTTGCCATATATCTGCTTCCTCTCGAATTGCTTGGAGCGACTCGTCTGGGAGCCTGCGAGATGTGAGGATGTCCGAATAATAATCCAGAGCATACTCCGCTAGAGTTGCAGTATCTGTGGCCAAATCCGCCTGCGCGTTGAATGGGTGTGCCAAGGCACGAATGAGGGAATGGGAGCGTGGTGGACACAGACATTGGAACGTCTCCTTTGTAATTCGATCGAGTTGGGTCATACCCTTCTCTTTCGCTCTCTTTGCCCACGATTCCTGTTGTTCAATCTGTATTTCTTCCCATTTCCTCATCCAAGTATCCCTCCTCCTTTCCCAGTACAAATCAGTGATTGGATCATGCCCAATGTACTCTTCTGCCTCCTCCACCATCCTCCTACACTCCACTTCCTCCTGTCTCCTCCCTCTAACCAAAATCCGGGAAAACACATCCATTGCCTTAGACACAATTCTGAAGCCTACTTGAACCCATTCCACCTCTGTGTAAAACCACTGTTTGGTTTTCTCCCAATCAACCCGGTGCTTGTCACACCAATCCAGCACTTCCTGATTCTTAAGGTTCTCCGTGTTCAATCTAAAATATCCCGGCTCTCTGCGAATTCCAAAACCCAGTCTGAGATCTACTCTGACTGGTCTATGGTCTGAGAGTGGTTGTGTATCCACCTCTGCGCTAACAGCCGCTTCCCATGCTTTGCCCTTTGTGAGAATCAGGTCCAGTCTCCTGTTTGGAGCTGCTGGTTGGTCGCCCCTTTCTGTGCCAAACCATGTGAAGCCCGGTGTATCCGGATAGAGCTGCCTGGAGGTATCCGTGAGCTCTGCTGCTTCCGTAAAACGCTGAAGGATCACGGCATCAGCTTTCCTCGGCCCAGGGAGTGGAGAGTCCAATCCCGGGGACATTACTGTGTTGAAGTCTCCGGCCAGGATTAGAGTGCCCGCTTCTGGGACCACGTTGGGTAAGTCTGTCAAAAAGGATCTTCGTTCCCCTGGGACAGATGGGGCATAAATTGACATCAAAACCCATTCTTGATCTCCCAAGCTTATGCTAAGCCACGCCCACTGTCCCCAGATGTCCACCAGAGAGTCTGATATAGTGGCTTCCAGGTCTTTATGAATTAGTATACCAGTTCCCCCTTTTCCGTTTTGGCCGCCCACAGTTCAGCTGTTTGGTACTACCGGCCCAATGTCTTCCATCTGGGGTACTACAGGCCCACGCTTCACTCCAAGGGTCCTACCGAATCATGAATCTGGCGAATAAACAGCACCAGATTCATGTTCATGTAGATTAGAAGAGGCCGAGGGTGGTACGGCTGAAGGATAGAATGAGGCCCACCTTTTTTCTTTTTTTTTTAATATATATATATATATATATATTTTAATTTGGACCATTTCTCGATTTATGCGTGTCATCCTTGATGCTAATCTTCTCTGTATCGTTCCAATTTTATGCTCATTTTATCGTTTCCGCGAATCAGTTTAAGGGCATATTCGGCCAAGAAACTATTTACTTATTTCGCGACGAGTTTCGGCCAGATGCATGAAGGTCGGTCATGTGATGGTGCTAGTGGAGTACGCCCTAACATCTGATCGACGGTGCATCGAAAGAGGAAAAAAGGAAATGAAAAAAGCCACCCGTCTCTTGTAGTGGCCTGTACCCGCATTTCAGGGTGTAATCACAATACCACTCCCGTATACGTACCTGACCTCATTTACGGCCAGAGCTGTGGGTATCTGGCAGCAATTCCATCCAGAAATAAGTAAGAAAATGCTAGTGTTGTGAGTATGCCCTCAGCAGTGATTACGGGTTCACAGGCGGGCGGCAAACATGTGGCTCGAAGAGGGAGGAGGGAAGGACGCTCACTGGGAGTACGCGTGCATATGAAGAGCCGGTGAGAGCCGTGTTCAAGAGGGCGGGACCGAGACCAGTCGAGAGCGGTGTTCAGGACGGAGAGCAGTGTCCACAGTTCCGATGTTGCATTGCCGCTTCGTGACACTCCAAGCAGGCTTTCAGGAAGGACACCAGCCATGTTCATGGCCAGATACGTCCTGAAAGGTGGAGAGCAAGTTAGCTTAACTCCTCTTGTTGAGGCGTCTCCACCAGCTGCGTGTCGTGCTTCTGTCTCCCTGTAGTGCTTGGCTGTTGGGGTGAGTGCTCTGCTTACAGCGCACCTATCAAGACGTACATTAGCAAGAAGAAAGCACCAAGAAATTAAAGAGAGAGAGAGAGAGAGAGAGAGAGAGAGAGAGAGAGAGAGAGAGAGAGAGAGAGAGAGAG